TGTGAAAGTATCCAAGAATCAATAATTTCCAAGACTTAAAGCTATCTGTAAACACGATCTCTGCAGTAAGGTGGAAAATGCTTGAAAGTATATGTTTTATGTCTTAAGATTTAAAGTTGTGTAATACTGAACAAACAACTGGCAAGGTGCGAACTCAGACCACTGGATCCCCCTGACGCCTCCACAGGCCGCACGAGGGTGCTCTGAGGGGCAGCGAGGAGCGCGGCACGCGCCCGCCCTCACCCACGCCACGAGCACCGTCCTCGCTCTTCTCCTCCCGCCGCCTCTTGTCCCAGCTACCGGAATCCCGGTTCCCACGGAACAGCCGAGCGCAGACTGCTGCGTTGAACGCGCGGTTTCGACTCGCCCCCTCGTGGACTCACCGCGCTGCAATTCCTGGTGAACTGGAGTCTCCTTGGAGGTCCTGCAGCTGCAGGGTCAACCCCGCGGCTGCACCTCCTCTCTCAGGGGGCTTCCAAGAACAGGAGCAGCCGGGTCCCCCGCAATGGCTGCACGGACACAGGCAAGTCACAGCTCACAGATAAGGCAGACAACAGGTCTACCCACCATTCCTACCGTTATTTTTTGCCCATATTGCTCACACTGAGCAGAGAGGTGACCATTGCTGTTATCTCAGTTTTTCAGGTGGGGAAGAGACGACCGTGTTTCCTCTAGAAGCTGTCATGGTTCATGATGACAGAAGTAATGGGTCAAACCTGTGTGTGCAAACTGCCCCAGAAAACAAACGAGGGAGGCAACCAGAGCGATGCAAACAAGATTTCACTCCTTATACAACTTATACAAGTGTTTCAAGAGAGTGGTCAGCTGGAAACGCTCAGCATTTGCGAGTTTACCGAGGAGTTTGAGACAGAATGACTTAGGTCTAAGTAATGGTTCTTAAACCCAGCACACAACAGAGCTCCAGGTGAAAGCGAGGAAGGCCCATACAAAAACCCAAAGTACAGGATCAGATTGTCTGCTATGATAATCCTGACTATTTGCTTTAAATATTTTCTAAAAATAATATACCTAAGAAAAGGAGTAGTGAACGTGAATTAAAGAGATAAAAGGGATAGAACGGAGGAAGACACTGGTCTGGTTATTAGAACACAGACAAGCTATTAATCCTGCTTTAATTATTAAGGACAAGTAGTCATATATTTGTAGATCAATCTTTGAATACTGGAATTGAAATCCTTTGATTTTTTTTATTTGTTTTTATACAAAAAAAGATAATGCTTTACGGACGAGGAATAAACTAGGCCTTTTCATAACTGTTCTTCTTTTTTTTTTTTTTTAAATCTCAATCTGCTTTAAAAAAATTTCTGTTGATCGTAGCGATTCATAGGAAGTTGCTGCATGGAAGAGCTAGAACATTTGACCGTGGCTCCACAATGAGTCAAGCAACAATAGGGTTCAGATAAACTAGGCTGGTGCCACGGCCCAGTGCACTAATCCCCTGCACTGAAGCAGACACATTCCCATTCGGAAGCAGATAGCTTTGTGGACGAACCCGTGGCAAGATGAAAATGTACGTAAGCAGAGCTTTTTTCCAGCAAATTCAGAGAGATCAGTAAATTTTAACTGCTTGGACTGCCAAATGCAGATACCTGACCAAGCCCTTCAGCACCAGCATGCTTGTGTAACGCTGTCTGCTTCCCACACATGCTCATATTAATAATTTCTGAGAATCGCTGTTCTCTCACTGCATAAACACTGCACTGAACGGAAATGGAATAAACTAAAAGATAATATTTTGTTCTCCACAAGGCTAGGTACTATTTCCGAGCTACTAAATTTATCTCCTTAGCAAATTGAGTAAATTAGACTTAAGCTCCAGTCCCCTTCTGCTTAATAATTTCCTGATCATTATCCACTTCCTTAGAGAGTTTACTGGGAACAACAGAGTCCAGATATTACTGTACCATGAAATTAAAACACAATTATGAAACCTGAAGGAAATTTTCCAAAAAGTTCAGATTAAGTTGAAAAGCTGCTTTGGTATCCAAACTTGGCAAAGTACCTGACAGTTCCCTTCCTAAACTTTCATTTACAGTTAGCTGGACTGTATATTTGCTGGGTTTTAGTAGCAATTTTGTGCAATAAAGAGCATTTAACAAATCAAGCTATTGCACGTTTACAGTGTAACAGTACAAATAGCCTGAAACCAAATTAATTCCTGATGGCCTGGGGGTGGGTCCAGCTGTGACTTCCTGGCATCTTTCACAGGAAAACCAAGTTTGGGAGCAAGAGAAGCAAAGAAATGGAAGAGCTTATTAGTCATCTGCACTCGCTGCACTGTACAGATGTGCACACAAGGTACACACAGATGTGCAGCGTATGCACACAGTGTAAAATAAACCAAGTTCTCCGCTAACGATTTCTGTATTGCTGATAGGTGTCACGTTATGAGAATCATTACTGACCCTTCTCCTCAAGGCAACTTTACCTGATCCTAGTTGAACCCTGCAGGTTGGATGGCGAGTTGCCAAGTTTTCCATCCTAACTTTGAAGACTACAGCGGGATCAGCAGCCCTGAGGGATCACTCCTCTGTTTGGCTCCTTCCTGCCTTGCTTGGATGTTTCTGCTTCTCTGCATGAATAAAGCTGCACAGCAGCTTGATGACATTAAACTTCAAAGCGAGATTAATCAGCAGCTCAGGATAAAATTTCAGTTTCCTTTTTCTGCCAATCAGCAATACATTCTTCTCCAAAGGAAGAATGCCAAGCCACATCCTCATTTTCTGGCTGGAAGAGGAAAATGTGGTGAATACTATGGGAATTGAGGTATAGGATGAATCATCTCAAGTATGATTTGATCAGGGAAATCCCTGGTACGTTGAGTGAACTTTTCCAATCTTTTTTCTCACCCTAGGGATGGACAGAACTCCCTCAGTGACGTACAGTGGGGCATATAAATACTCATGGCACAAATCAGCAGCACTTTGGACTGCCTTCTTAACCACCATTATTTCTCCTAGATGTCTACACTGCAGTTTTAATCACTTTGACAGCATTTTCCTGATATGTAGTAGTAACAGATAATATAGTCTCATGCCCTTCTAGAAGTCTTTCCAGCTGTGACTAACATGGAAAGATGCAGCTTTAGAAACATTCGCAGCTTCCTTAAATAAATGCAAAATAGCAAAGGAGAGGGGAAAAAAAGCCCTCGTTGGTATTTAGGCCACAGGACTTTGGGGTATAAGCCACAGAAACCAGACAACTGTTAGTCATGACCATTTCTTTTACAGCTCTGGAGATTTTTGCCTCATGGAACAAGTGAATTAGCTCCTCAAAACTACATCTGAGTGCAAACACACGTAGCAATCTACTTAATTTCCACTTCAGACATTCCAAAATGCTGAAAATCATGCCAGGATGTCCGATTTCCTTGATTTGGCATTCAAAACTAACTACAATGTCCAGGAAACTGCTATTTATACAGATTGTGCCAAAGCTATTCTGTATGAAGCATTTGCAATTGCGCTTTAGAAAAAAAACTTTATGTCCAAGCAAATAAAAACTATTCTAAAACTGCAACTATTCCCCCCAAAACATCTGAAATTCTTGCTAATTAAGTGTATGAAAGACAAACATGACTTCTTTGTCTCTGCAGATCAATAATCTTATTTTAAACATATTTATAGACAATTTTAACAATAAGAAATCATCCGTGTAAGTGCAAGCATGGTTAAATCATACGAGAGGGAAAATGCACATTCCTCAGGATAGCCACGTATCTCTGGGTACTGGAGACAAAGAAATCAATTGTGCTCATGGAGAAAATTAATCAGAAAACTGAAGGTGCCGATGGCAGGAAGGCTGCCACCTGCCACTAGATGGAAGCAGGGATGCACCTACCCAGCACCTGCAGCCCTCACAAACCCGTCACCAACCCCAGCAGTCCACAAAAACCATCCATGGAAGGGAATTTGCCTTCCTGCTGTTCTACAGGCCAAACATGACTCACTGTCCAGAAGCATTTGTGCTTCACAGCAGTATCTACGTAAAGCTCATGCCTCTATATTGAGCAACTGCCATTGAAAGGCCACTGGAAAGACAAAATTAACTAGGTAGAAATGAAACTAAAATGTAATGCTTTTGCATATCAAAAAAAAACGTAACAGCAAATCAGCTAGGAGCAAATGGCATCAATCAATTTCATACATTATGCAACTGCTTGTTTTTAAATAGAAATGCAGGTAAAAAATAACATCTCTTAAACAGTGTTTCCTGACTTTGGGGAGTTAGCCTCATTTTCAAATTACTAGTGGCGTTAGGTGCAGGAATGGAGAAGTCAGGTGGATTTTTTTGACATCAATTCTTGCTGAGACCTGCACATTGCTATGCTATGCATTTTACAAGCCATGGATAATCTGCAAAATACATCACTATTCCAGGAAGCTGTAACACTAGTCGACACTGGTATAACAAGGATTCAAAGGAAACTCTGAAAAACAACTCAGCAAGATTATGCCAGCTTGCATCTTTCGTGTTAGAAAGTGCTGCAGCCCTTAAGTGCTTGGCACCCTCCTATCTTGGGAGGCTTTCAGGTATTTGCAATTTATCACAGTGACTCAAGCAATAAAAAATGACAGTTGGGTGCCCAGTCACGTAGAGCGTGAGTCAGCTCTGTGGAGGTGACGGGTATCCTACAGTCTGAAACACGGTGGTACCATCTGCGATCCACAAGTTGAGAGCTCCTGCAGCAGGCAAGGGCAATTTCAGGCACAGGTTCAGTCATACTCCAAACAAAACGAAAAGGAGAGCATAGGGAACATAGGGAAGACAGAGACTCTTGGATTGCCGTTATGACATATTAGAACCAGACGTGCTAGAAAAAAGCAGACGCATAAGAGCACAAATAACAACATAAAGTGGAAGTGGTTTGGTTTATGACGGTAAAAACAAGCACATCAGCACATCCCTTCAAGCATCTGTGCAGCTTAGAGACAAAACATTTGGTAAGGGGAAGCAAAATAAACCACTCACAACAAGTACTGTTGAATCCTTTTAATAACACTAGGAAAATATCATAGTATTAAAATTCTGCATGGGATTTTGAAAGGGTTATTTTGGTTTGGGATTTGTGTTTATAAACCTTTTTTTTTTCCTCTTTTAAACCATCTACTCCTTTATAATGGTATTTCCAGTTAAAAACAGCTAACCTATAAATACCTGAATACCACAACACACACTGTGTGTTGTGGGTTTTGTTTAAATCTTAGCTGAAATAATGGTAAATCTATCCAACACAGGGAAGCAAACGTTGCCTTGTTAAGCAGGGACAGATGTAATAGCCAGTAAAGCATACATTGCATACATAATACAGAAGGAAAAATTATCATCTGGAGTATGTGAAATTACACTGACTTTGCACCTTAAACCTATTAGAAGTTACTCTGTTGGCCAATACTAATCCACTGAACAAGCAGAACGTCGGTCAGAAGTCTAATGTTTCCTGTACCAGCACAGAGAGAATATAAGCAGTCCAATGCTGTTAAAAGAAAACATGAAATCCAGCTCATGTTTCTGGTTAGGGATCAATTTCTTCAGGAACTATTGTTAACATAACGTCTTCGTTGCCCCTGCGTACAACCAAGTTCAAAGTATTGTCCTTTTTAATAATGTCACTGACATCACTGGCTGAAGTTATCGACTGTCCATTGATGCTTATAATCACATCATTGTCCTTCAGGCCACCACTAAAAACACAAAGAAACAATGCGTTATTATAATTGCCATTTTTACAGTATTCATCTTTACAGTATTCCTAGAAAGATCCCTGAATTTTTTTTCCTTTTTCCCATTCAGCAGCATCTGCACAGAGCCACTGCGAGCATGCAAACAGCACTGCAGTTTGTGTGCCAGGACCCATTAGAATACAGCACAAAGCCTCAGAAATCAGAGTGGGGTACTAGAGTGATGAATCCCATATCACACTGTCCACAAGGGAATTTGCTACTTTTGCAAAGGATCCTAGTAGCTAACTCAGTGGAAGAGATGAAGGCATATTTTCCTTCTGGAATAACTGAGACAAGGTACTTCTGTTTCAGAGAGGAAAACTTCCAAGTCTACTATGAGAGAGGAAAACTTCATAGCCTAGTGCATATACATAGCAACGCAATTTGATCAGCACTGTGCATTAAAACATCAGGAAACTCAATCCAAGGTCTGTGCTGACACGTTTAATATGCCACACTGTTCTCCTTTGCTTTGCCTATATACTTGAAACAAGAGCAAAGTGAACCATGTAGTACCAGCAATGCAGGTGCCCCCTTTCTCCTCTTCCACCTGCCGACAGCGCTTGGAATCCCTGTTGGAACCCGAGCACCAGCCCGAGCCCTCGGGCTGCCGTGTTCCTGCTCCACAACACAGGGTGTCACAGAGCACAGGACACAGGACACTGGAGCCCAACACGACCCAGGCCAGGATCCCTCATGGAGACCCAGGTGAGACGGCTCCGCAGCCCGAGCAAAGGGGTGTTGAGGGATACGGGCGACTACAATGTCTTGCCCAGCCTTGCTCAACGACCTGGCTCCAAGTTATGGAAATATTAACCAAGTAACCAGATCAGACATGATTCAGCCCATCAGCATAACCCTTTTTACAAAACCACAGAAGAGTCATAGGCCTCTTCCGCCCACAGAAAATGCCTGACACGAGGAATACCTATGTCAAGCAGGATGCCTTGGCCAATGTTGTTAGCCAGCTCACAAATCTGGTTGCCTATCCAAGTCTTGATTTTTAACATGGCCGTGAGAGGAACTATTTTGCATTATCTCAGTCTCATACAAAGGCAGCTTGCAGAGATCTCTCAACTCAAATCTAGCATGAGATGCTGCAGCAGATCTCCTCTGCCTCCCCATCCAGCACATCCTCGCCCAACACACTGCGTTTCCTCCGTAGCAGACCAAGGCAATCTGTAGGGAATGGGACTAAGAGTCAGGGAGATGCAGCAAATGTGAATTACATTTGAATTGCCAGGTCAGCCACCAAACAATTCTTGTTTGAGTTTGCTTTCAAGTTATAAAAACATTTACATTAAATGTATAAAAACCTCAAATTTCTTCTCTCTCTCTCTCTTTCTCTAATTCTCTAATCTGTTCTTTCTTTCTGCTAAGTATTGTCACTACCACAATAATGTTTTTTTCTGCATGTGAAGGCAGCGAGCTCAGGCCGGCAGAGCAAACTGTTATTCCTGTACTAACCAAAAGCTATTTGCTCACTACAGGGATACAACCGTATTCTGGATGATCAGTATTCTTGACGAGTTACCTACAAAAGGCAGCAATATTTTAGAAAACAAGCTACACAGCTAACACTGTGTATTTTACAGTGTCATCCAAGCTGCAACACAAAGGACTCACTGAGCCATCCCCTCCCTTTCTCTCTGGGAGATGATAAAAATGCGGCTCAGAAATCCAAGCCGTTTCCTGCGCACATGCCTTTGATACTACACATGCTTCTTTGTTGCCACAAAGATTTACTCTTTTCTTATATAATGCCTAGTTTCAGAAAATCGGAATAGAGTTTCCTATTTCCTACCCTGGATTACTGAGCGATTTTATATTAACCAAATTCCAAAAGTGTCACCAGGAAGAGCTAGACAGGCCAGAGCCAGTGCCCGAAGACCAGACGCCTTAATTCAGTAAGGCATCTTGTGAAGTATGGTACCAATTAGCATTTGAGATGCTCAGCAGATAGTGAATAATAATATAAGGGATACATCAGTTCATCAAAAGCTTTTCCCAGTAATGTGACTCCTGACAGAGCTCTCAGAAAAATGTCTTGTGCCAAGACAGAATTTCTCTTCAGAGAGATGCACACTAGGATAGCTGATGGCTCTGCAGTTAGGGAAGACTGAAACACTCCATCTTAGACGGACAGATCTTTGCAAGCTCAGATCAAAGCTCCTCTCCCTGTCCTCCTGCGGGAGGGGACTGCTAGGATGTTGCAGGATAGGCACAAGCAAACAGCTTACTGGTGTTAATTCAGTGCTGGCTTTGGTAGAAGTGGAATGGATGTCCAAAAAGTAATCAGTGAGAAAGTGAGAATTGAGTTTACACACCCACTGAACGCTCATCCTCTTAATTGGGAACTCTGACAGGGTTTCTCTGCAGTGCTCTGATATGTTTGCAATATTGCCCATCAGGGACTGAAGTAAAACCACAGACTGATTTCAAGCAGACAACCTAATAGCTATCAGATGGTCATAATTAGGTTAACTTAGCAAAATGAAGATACTCAATTAAGCATGAAATGTTCCTCATCATTACTACTACAAGTCAGAGGCAGTGGTTTTAAGGAAAAGAGCTCTTACACTTCAGCTGGTGTTTCTGGAATTACTTCAATAACATAGGCCCCAGAGACAACATCAGGGAAGTCTTTATGGCGATCCTTCAGCTCTTTAGCTTTACTGGAAAATAAAGTAACATCAATAAAAACATATTGTCGAGGGAAATAAAACCACATTTTTACTTAACTTGGTTAAGATTTACTTGCTGGGGTATTTTAGTCATATTGATATGGCACCTCACAGTTCAGATTAACAATTAGAAATATTTTAAGAATTATGACACTTTTTGTAGCTATACAACTTTTTAAACACTTGTTTCTTGTAATGACAGTCATTATTCAACACATCATTTCAATACATGCAGAAGAATGGAAGTAAACCAAAACATTTCAAAATTTGGTCATTGCTTTAGAACAAGAGGATTTTCCACATCTTAAATAGTATCTCAAGTTCTGAATGCCCTCTTTATTTCTGATGTTAAGGAACAGCCAATGGTCAAGCACAGCACAACTACCCATTTGCTGGGTGTCAAAGTAGCAAATCCACGTCTACAATGGCCTAACCCAGTCAGAACGTATTTGGTCCACTCTTAGTAAAGTAACAGGGTTTCTAGAAACATCTGCACGTGTGCAAACTTGTAGTGATTTCTAAAGGACTAAATATTACCTGCTCACACAAGTTCTATCTGGCTGGAGTTTGAGTAAGCAAGCCCACAAAGCTTCATTTTACATTAAGGTTGGTTTTTTTTTTTTTTTAATCAGATGAATTAGGTATAAATGAAAACACATAGGCAGCTGCTGTTGTTTTTGAAGGCATGTCTGTCCTGTTTATTTTCCAAACTTCATGACAGCACAGAATAGATGGCCCCAAGAAAAATTAACAACTACTCAATATTTTCTTCCAAAATCTTAAGTAGGGAATGGGAAGACATGGAATTATTTATGAACTAAGAAGAGTTTCCAGAAGAGTTCTGCCAGGCAAGGATACAGAGCAAAAGATAGCACAAACTGGTCGAAAATTGACACCAGAATCTACGGTGAGGCACGCGCTGTTGTGTATGAAGGTCATTATTTTGACCCAAATCATGAAGCAATCACACTTAAGATTCAGAAGAATTGCTACTTCTACTTACCTAGGAGAAAGAGACATCATTCGTATGCCAATGTATTTCTTTTTGGTTATAGCTTTTCCTATAAAAACGGGGAAAAAAAGTTTTGACCAAGTATTCTCATCAAAAAACAGTGCCTCTGTTGACTTTCTACTGTAGTACTATTTTAAATGTATCTCTTTCAAAATAATGAAGTACAGTACCTTTAGCTTGCCTGTCATGAGATTCAGTTAAGAACTTTTTGATTTTATCAGATGGAATAGCAAATGAGATCCCAGCTGTGACTTTTAATGTGTTAATTCCAATGACTTCACCATCCTGGAGAAACAGGATTTTGTTATTAGTAAATGTGAAAAGTCTTGAAGAAATAAGCATGTTTTCTTCCAAGCAATCACAAAGTCAAACACACTCAACATATTTGATTTAGGTTTTCTAAGTTCAATTCATTACTACGAGATTAAAGGAAAATGATTTGTCAATAGTCTAAATTGTCCAGCTCATCTGTGGCACAAAGAGTACTACACAGTTTTGGTGGGTAGTCATATTCACACCAGGATAACCAAAATCAGAACGTGGTAGCTCTTCAGCTTATAACTGAATAGCAGCATATTCTAATATCTACAGTATCAGCAAATGAACTCTAATATCCTGATAAAGTCTAGTTATTTCTATCCCAGAGTGATTAAAAATAAGACGATTTATCAAATTCTGAATCCTAAACAAAACTTCAGTATGTAAAAAATTCTAGCTCCACAGCATACACTGAGTATAAT